CTGCTGAAACTGCTCGCGTCCTTGAGCTGCATCAGGCTTCAAAACCTTGATTGCAACCTGGGTGCAATCTAATTCACATCTGTAAACTGGACCATAGCCTCCTTCGCCGATCTTGAGGTTGTCCGAAAACATGTTTGTTGCCTCTTCAATTTCCTCAATGCTGTATCTTCTGTACATGCCAGAGGCAAAGCTATCACCCGGCTTCTTCCTCTCGGCGCTTATTTTCTTTTGTGCTTCCAACGCCGCAATATTTCCGAGTGCTTCTGATCTAATCTTTTCCTGCTCCTCCTCCATGGCTGATACTTCATCCGTTGTTCGCGACTCATCAGATAATTTCTTCTCTTCTTCCGCTTTCCAACGTTGAAGCTCCATTGCCTTCTGCTTTGCCGTCTTAGCTTCCTTGCAAGCTGAGCTGTACATTTCCATTGTCTGCTTCAGTTCTAGCTTCAGCCTCCTCATCTCCCATTCCACATCATCCTATAAATCAAAAATGTTGTTGGTGTTCTTCTTTAATTAGAATTTGAGTTTCATCATTGTAATATATATCATAAAGAATCTCATTAGATATTAATGTGTATTATGGTGATAAAACTTCAATTCTGATAATAGTATTATAAGCATGTTATTGTATCCTTATAAATTTCCTTACACATTGATACATGCGTGCATGCAATGTTGATTACGTACCGAGCAATCGGATGACCTTGATTGCGAGGAGAAGGAGAAGTCATCCATGTTATTGACTCCTCGTGAGGAGAGGGATGAAACGATGCTTCGGGCTTCGTAATCTGAGCCGATAGAAAACCTACCCGGGGCAATACTTCCACTCGCACTCGCACTATCCAGATCATCGTACAATGTTGGGAACATTCGATCAATGCTTGGCCTTCCGCTGCTCACGAATGATATATCAGAATCCGGAAGTTTAGAAGACTCGTATGTTCTTCCAAACCTTGTGAATGGTGATCTGCGTAACCATATAGCATAGACAAATGTTATTTATACAACTAAGAGACATGAAATATGGAAATCAAAATAAAATGTTATTTGTAAGTTACATGATATCATCATCATCCAACGTCATGTGGCGTGTCCCGGTACTCGCAAAGGCCCTCTCTGATGAAGCTATGATACATATATAGTAATGGAAATGAATTAGAATGAGATCGAATGGCATGAACATGATCATATATTAAAGAGATAAATTAATTGACATGCATGCATACGTCGTGGAGGGTAATTATTGCGGGTTGGTTGAGCGTCAATTAATCTTTCAGGGAATGGTTGTGGTTGTGGTTGTGGTTGTTGTTGTGGGGGTGGTGGGTTACGCGGTGGTGGTGAGGGTTTAAGAGCCAATGGAGCAGTAGCAGATCTCACACTTGAGATTTTTCCTTTGGAGATTATATAAACTGTGCAGAATGGTGGTGCGCCTTTGGACACATTGCTAGGAACATCCGTTGTCCTAAATCTTCTGTCATAGTCAGAAACCATTCTATCGTCAACAAGATATGCATTGTTAAGCATATTATATCTTATCATAATACTTTGGAAAAAAAGGTGGTTTACCTAACAAGGCCACCCCTTGATGGCGCCCCAAGTACAAGAAGCTCGATGGAATTCGTGGAAATGCTTTCTACTAATGCCTTAGATATATCCATGTCGTCCAACAACACTTCTCTGCATTGTATCTGTTCCAAATAAACACAAACACTTTTAGATTTAGATAGGATCCTGTTTCATGACTGCATTTTGTATGATTTTGAAGATATTAAAGGTTTCCTTTATTTAATTATTACTAAACCCTTAATTATATTGTTGAAAGGAAATGCGTTAGAAACTAACATTTTTTCTGTTGCAGAAGACTCGAAATGAATCAAAAAGTTCCTTGGTTTCGCTGTCGCCCACAGTTTCGCTTGAATCCGCTGCAATTATAGCCATTATCGAGTCAGGAATATGGGAAGTTGAGAAAATGATATTCAAGGCAAGAATATGCTAAATTAATTATAAGCCCTAGAACTATTCAATATTTGAATGGCGTGCATAAAAGTGAAATATGCATGCATATATTGGAAATAGATAGAGATTAATTACATGCTCTTTGTCTAACATGGATTAGTAAAAGACATTGATCCTTTGGAAGAAGATTGTCCACTGCCCACTTGGCAGCATGTTGGCTTGTCTTGTTATTCTCAATGGCCACAGCCACCACACGTCCTGCACCCAACTTCTTCTCTGAATTCAGCCTCGACATCCTTAATTTTTGGATGTTTTGTCGTGGCTTGAATCCAGATACAAATGTTACAGTACTGTGTTTATTAAATAAATATAACAATAACATGTCATGTCATGCATTTTTAGCAGTTTGTTGAAACTGTAAATGCTGTTGCAGATTAGTTTGCACTTTGTTGTAGCGTTCCAAAATTAGTGATTTTCCAGCCTGGCAATAGATCTAGTAGCTAGTAACTCATTTTGGGAATATACAATTTGGCTTGGGTGTCTTCTCTCATAGCTGACCAAAACCAAATTCTTTATGCTAGTTATTGAGGGGTATATAGTTATGATCGTCGATTTCCCCCTATAGACAAAAATACTATATGATTAAGTTAGTAAATAGTTATTGTTATTTTTTATTAAATCTGTTCACATTTAGTGATTAACAATTATATACTATAAAATAAGTCATATATATATATATATATATATATATATATATATATATAT